TGTGGTTCAGATACTTATCATATGTTAACCCAACCGCCCCGGATTTATGTTCTGTCTCTTGTAGCTTTTTTGTGAGTGTTGTTACATGCACGTGCTCAGCCGGCAAGGAGTCTATCAGTAGCCTTAGTGACCGATCCTGATTTTGCCTATGGTTCCTTTTGTTCTTTGGCCATATGTACATTTTTTTTTTATATGGTTCATTTGTATTTTGTTTTATTTTTAAAAATCATTATCAGTAAAATTTTAGTATTATTACCAACCTATGTGACTTTCTAATCGGTCATTTCATTTCCATGTATGAGCTGCAGTCACTCATAAAAACTTGCCATTCTTAAATAGTAGTGATTCATAAACGGCTGCCATTCATACTACAGCGACTTCATGAAGGGAACACACGAACCCTTTCTGCAACTTCACCAATTTTAGTGTGTTGATCTAACTTTAACTCTTTCACTGCTGCTTCTATCACTATTCCTGCTTTGTTTATTATTATCCCCATTTTTATTTCACTCTGGTAGTTTCTTCTTTCTTTTTTCTCCTGAAAGAATTCTGAATGATCTTTCATTTATATATGTAACAACAATAATAAGTGGTATTTCGTAAATAAATGTTTTTGTAAAAACTGTGAGATGAGGAGGAGAAGGGTAGACTTTCCCTTGCTGATCTATCTATAGAGGCTTTCCATCTATCTACTAATCTGTTTCTGTGTATAATACATTTGTCTGCCTGTCCCTCTACCGATCCGTTTATCAATTCATCTATCTGTATATACATACATGCTCTATTTGTCCCCCTACCTATGCATATTTATCTATTCATCCATCTATCTATCTCTGTCTATCTATCTATCTGACTATACATACGGTCATAAATATAACAGTCCCCCTACCTATACATATTTATCTATTTATCCATCTATCTATCTCTGTCTATCTATCTATCTGACTATACATACTCATACATAAATACATACATGCATGTAAACATACATACATAGATACATACAAACAAACAAACACACGTAAACATAAACATAGCCACAGGTTTTGATTTTGATGATGTCACTTTACTTCGGAGGCTTCATTATCGAACTCGGAATGAGCGAAGATGAGAGCAACGCCCCGAGGCCGACGGTTCATTGGGTAACGCTCACTGAGTCCGTCCACCTCCGTGTATGCGGTACGACGCCTGCGGGAAGAGGAGCGAAATGCAATGAAAATAGAAAACGCAGAATAACACACTACAATGAATGAGGAAAAGGACCGACGGAGATGAGGAGAGAGAGAACTGAGTAAGAGGAAAGGGCAGTGAAGACGAGGGTCACAGATTAGTAGGGGATAAAGGATAATGGTGATAAATATATTCAGTGAGAGTAAAGGGTTAATGTAGAAGAATGATAATGATAATAACAATAATAGTAATGATAATAATAACAATAATAGTAATGATAATAATAACAGTAATAAGGATGATAATCATAACAACAACAACAACAACAACAACAACAATAATAATAGTAATAGTAATAATAATAATAATAACAATAATAATAATAATAATGATAATAATAACTATAACAATAATAACAGTCATGATAATAATGACCATGATAAAATTTTCAATGATGATAATGAAAATGATTATGATAATTATAATGATAATTATAATGAAAACAATAAAACAATAATAATAATGATAATAATAATAATAATGTGGTGTTAATAATAATGATAAGTAAGTAATGGTGATAATAATAATAGTAATAACAGTAATACTAATAATATTGATATGGTGATAATAATGATGATGATAATCATAATGATAATAATAATAATAATAATAATAATAATAATAATAATAATAATAATAATAATGATAATAATAAAATAACAATAATAATAACAATAATTTAGCCGAGAACGCTACCACTTTACTGTACAGATGAAGAACGAAAATTCAGTGAGAATAACAAACAATAATAATTAATTAATAATGGTGATGATGATAACAATAATAAAAATGATAATGATAATGATAACAATAATAATGCTATTAATGACGATAAAGATAATGATGATAATAATAACATTAATAATAATATTGATAGCATTAATAGTAATAGTAATAATGATAGTAATAAGAATAGTAACAATAATAATATCAAAGGTAATAATGATAATGATGATGATGATGATAATGATAATAATAATGATAATGATAATAATAATGATAATGATAATGATAATGATAATGATAATGATAATGATAATGATAATGATAATGATAATGATAATGATGATGATGATGATGATGATGATGATGATAACAATAATATTATTGATAATAATAATGATAGTAATAATAATAATAATAATAATAATAATAATAATAATAATAATAATAATAAAGATAATAATAATAATAACGATAATAATAATAATAACGATAATAATAATGATGATAATGATGATGATGATGATGAGCGAAAACCACCTACTCCTTAGGTAAGTCCTTCGCAGGTTCCTCTCCCTCCGCGCCCCTGTTCTCCGTCGTGTTGGCCTTGCCTTGGTTCCCGCCATCGACTCTCGCTGAATCAACGGCGCTGCTCATCTCTCTAAGGGAGGAAGGGAGGAAGTGAGCCATTGTACCCACTGAGTTAAACTGTACCCATTGATATTCAGGTCAACGCAAATTGCTTTATTCACAGTGTTAGTTATATCCCAGTCTCTTTACGCTTAGAACATAACATTTTTACTGACCATTTTAATACCAATGCTAAAACTTAAAATTATAGGGTTAAATTAAATTGCACTTACTTATAGGAAATGTATTGTCTGCAAATTCTATATTATTATTTAAATGTCCGAAATAAGTTTTCTTTCCTTTTATATAAAAAAAATTATAATAACAAAGTGGGCAGACATCAGATGACGCATAGCCTCGACCAGCTATTATTAGCCAATCTCAGGAAAGAAAGAAATCTCTTGTAAAGAAAAAAAGTAATTAATGCAAAACGAGGTGGTTTCATTACATCTGGAAAATAAGGGTATGAATTTGGCAGGACAAGATTTGCTGCTAGTTCTTTTCATAACACACACACACACACACACACACACACACACACACACACACGCGCGCGTGGGGGGAATTCATGTCAAACAAATTGCAGGAAGAACAACGAAGGGAAGTTCAGGAAAACACACGAATATGCCGAAGGCCTTTTCGCATGCCCTGATGAAGCAGTAAATGCGAAAAGGCCTTTGGCATATTCGTGTGTTTTCCTGAACTTCCCTTCGTTGTTCTTCCTGCACACACACACACACACACACACACACACACACACACACACACACACACACACACACACACACACACACACACACACACACACACACACACACACATGGATTCATGGAAAATGGAGACTGTAAGAAAGACTTAACCCTCTAATACAGCCCTTACTTTTAGTATCCAGTGTTCTCTTGAACTTCAACATATATACATCTCTTCCTTGGCAAAAGAGCAGCACCACATGCAAGTAAACAAACTTGTGAGAATGCTCATTTCCTTTTTCACATTTTCTGGAGGATATAGCGACCTTACAGCAACTTATCTTTACAACTTATTAGCAATTTATCTGCTGAGAGTGATGTGGCTTGCCGTCAGAGCATCGTCACCACTCGCTTGTAACTCTATTGCCTCCTCCTTGCGCGGTGTAGTGTGGTGGCATGGATTACTCAAGACCTGCCACATTTACTGATGTAGAGACGGATTTGCCATTCAGTAAAGATGAAGATGCCCCACCTATGGATCACTGGCCAGCCCTTGTTCCACGCCAGCATCAAGCCTTGACGAGCAAAGTTGATGCACCACTCTCAGCTGACATCCCTCTCCCCACCACCAGCAAGCCCCCCGATAGAATGCAATTTAAACAGTGGCAGCTTCGATAGCTTGGTCGAGATCTAGTCGAGGCAGATGCAATAACATCACGCTTCGTCTACATATCCCGCCAACATCAGGACATCATAGACAGGACCATGAAAGAAGAATTTCTGTCCTGAGCTTTACTGTGCAGGACTCACCTGAGAGGTCCAGGAATGGCCCAACTACCTTGTCACTTGCTACCCAGTTGGTAAAGATCCTTCTTTGGCCAAGAAGCTCCCAAGCATATATTCTGCTTGTCGTTTTCGACACGACAATAAGGCCATCAATCGCATTGTGGTCACCTAGAAACTGCCAGATCCGCCCTTGCCCAATACTCCTTTCAACTTACTCTGCCTCCCAGTCTGTGAATTCTGGAGGATGAAGGATGGTCAACCATGGCACAGATACTGGGGAGCAATATTGCTCTGCATCAGAAAATTGTGCTCGGTGCCCCGACGTCCCCCACCACCACTTTCTGCTGCTTCTACTTCAGCTGCAGAGCCACCTGTTCCTCCCCCCTCCATCACAACCCACTGGAAATGTCTTCGTTATCATCAGTTGGGTGTCAGCGTCTGGCATGGGTGCAAAAGACACCAGGCTAGACCTGTTGCCCCACTTCCTGCACTCTTCTCACAGATGCCACACACCACTCCTCCTCCTGTTTCCCAAATCCTTATAGCTTTTTGGCATTCATCAAACCACCATGGTACCGGAGGTCGACAGTACTGCCCACTACTCTTGGGAATGGATGCTTCTGTTACAAGGTGAATTCGTGTTGTGAAATAATAAACAGCATCTTGAACACACTGGAAATCATTCACAGATCCCTACAATATTGCAGTTGATCTAAAAAGATTTTACTCTGCATGGTCGAGTCACCATCTCTGCACTCCATTGGGTGGATTACCATTCACCTACTCGAAAAATATCCCTTTACGTCTTTTATGACCTGCCAAGAGAAATGCAACTGATAGCTCAATACTGGAGAATGTCTCAGTTTGAAATAGTTGTACCACTTTTTACACACACTCTTGGTAGTCCTTTTCCTTAAGATGGCAAGAATTGGCTCCATGCCC